AACCTGAATTTTCTGCGTTATGGACGACCAGATCACTGATTTTATCGATATGAAATTTAATATCCAACCTTATATTTTAGAATTGTCAGCAAGAAATAATCTGAAAAATCCGTTAACATTGTAAAAATAGCAGCGACGATAGCGAGGGAGACGCGGCGAAGACGAAGAAACTCGCCATCACAATACAATTTGATTTGTCATTTTATCACATGTATTAACTTATTTGATTCACAAATTTAATATTACAAAACTCTGTTATTCTTCGTTTTTAACATAATATTAATTTATGCAAGTATGCTTTCATATGTTTTGTAAGGGATGGCGGTCTTGAAAAATAATTTTCCGATCACGAAACATTGCCGTAATCAGACCTAAAGATTCTAAATGTTTGGAATAAAAAAACGAAAATATCTCAAAATTCTGGTACCTTAGAACTAGTTAATGTTTCTATAGTAATTGAAAATCACGTTAGGAATTAATTTTTTCAGCATTTTTTATAATTAAGCTGCATTTGTCGTTGATAACTTCGTAAATAGTGTGCAACCTCTCATCTCTCTGTCACTGAATTGTCGCCTATGACGTCAGAGCAGTATTTCGCCGAAATCCGACTGAACTATGCATATTGCCGTATTTGAATTTCAACTCTCAATATCTCTTAGAATATGCTTTCAACAACGTTTATTGTATCCAGAATTTTAATAAACAAGGTTGTAGATAATATTTTTCATAAAATTAAGATTTTTGAAAAATCATGCGATAAGTCCTTTAAATGTTATCTTCACTTCCTTGGTCCGTTATTTCAATTAGCGCCTTTCTTTTTTGAGTAACCTTTTCGATCATCTTTTGGTTAAAAAATGATAACATCGACAACTTTTTTTCTTTTTCTACTTACAAATAGTTATCCACTCTTTGTTTTCGAACTCCTTTCTTTTGAAAGAATTTTGGAGGATATTGAGAACAAAATGGTTGAGCGATACATAGACTAACGAGTATTCTCAAGTACTCCATCCCCGCTTCACGATATGTGAAGTATTTGAAGAATATATTTGTGGTAAGCAGGGTCCTCTCTTGTGTAAATTCTTCCATGTAATATTATATTGGTCTAAAATTATAAGTTGTCGTTGACTAGATTGATACAAACAGTTACGAAAGCCTTTCTCAAGATAGCAAAATTCTCAAGCTGATTTTGAAAAGAGCTTATTTAAATTTTAGCCAGGACAGCCCCCCCCCCCCCACCTCCTTCAACACCTGCAGCCCACTGAATGTACATGGCTTCATGATTTACGCAGATTAATTCGAAGATTATTATATATCCCCTGATCTTTGCACATCTACTAGAAGTAAACTTCACCTTGTAAACCTAATTGATTTATCAATACCTTGAGGCTATACGAACTAAAGTTTAAACTAAGAAAGATATAATTTGTGTGATTCATAGTACAAAATATCGTGACTTTATTGCAGATTATAAATATGTTTTAAGGATATGATTAAGAAAAAAATGGCTATCTACATTGCTTAAATACTAGCACATTGTTTAAATTTGATTTTGTATGATATTTTATGCATTGTTAATCTATCAGATTCGAATTAAAAACCCCATTTGCCACCGCATAATTCACAAGTTCTTAAATATTTTTAGTACAAATATACATATAATGTATCAATGAAAAACTGCAATCATGATTCATGATATTGGCTGAATTTAAACACACATAATTGGAAAAATACTTTACATACAAAAATACATGTATATACTTATATAATTCATGGTCGCGAATTTTATTAATAAGAAAATAGAACAACATGTCCCATACTAGCCACCGTACTTGACAAACAATAAAGAATATTTAAAAAAAACCCTGAACCATTGCAAAGATTATATGTGTTAGTAGGTACTAAGTACTTTACATATCAGTGCAAGGACAAAAGACCCTTGAGAAATTCCTTACTTGCAGCAAACAGGAGCTATGAAATCTGAAACCACATGTCATTACGTCCATTAGCAGAATTATAATTTTTGTTCGGATATATTTTAAACAAGTTAATATTTACAAAATATACCATGTTTCAAAGGATGACTGCATTGAACGCCAAGTTTTGGGCTTTTTGGTCTATTCTGCTGCTTTTATATTTTAACCTAATTTCAGTTCTGTTTATATGTTAAAGAATTTAACAAGTTTGAAACCAAATTTAAATTAAAAAACGATAATAGACTATGATACAATAAAATAGTTCTGTGTTTTTTCGTCCTAACTGCTTTCCAAATATAGAGAATTTACACTTAACTACCCTTGATTGAACATAAGATTGATTAAAATATTATGCATTGTTAATCTATCAGATTCGAATTAAAAACCCCATTTGCCACCGCATAATTCACAAGTTCTTAAATATTTTTAGTACAAATATACATATAATGTATCAATGAAAAACTGCAATCATGATTCATGATATTGGCTGAATTTAAACACACATAATTGGAAAAATACTTTACATACAAAAATACATGTATATACTTATATAATTCATGGTCGCGAATTTTATTAATAAGAAAATAGAACAACATGTCCCATACTAGCCACCGTACTTGACAAACAATAAAGAATATTTAAAAAAAACCCTGAACCATTGCAAAGATTATATGTGTTAGTAGGTACTAAGTACTTTACATATCAGTGCAAGGACAAAAGACCCTTGAGAAATTCCTTACTTGCAGCAAACAGGAGCTATGAAATCTGAAACCACATGTCATTACGTCCATTAGCAGAATTATAATTTTTGTTCGGATATATTTTAAACAAGTTAATATTTACAAAATATACCATGTTTCAAAGGATGACTGCATTGAACGCCAAGTTTTGGGCTTTTTGGTCTATTCTGCTGCTTTTATATTTTAACCTAATTTCAGTTCTGTTTATATGTTAAAGAATTTAACAAGTTTGAAACCAAATTTAAATTAAAAAACGATAATAGACTATGATACAATAAAATAGTTCTGTGTTTTTTCGTCCTAACTGCTTTCCAAATATAGAGAATTTACACTTAACTACCCTTGATTGAACATAAGATTGATTAAAATATTAATGAGAGGTGGAGCTAACATTGTAAGAAGGGGTTAAAATTATACTAACATCAATAACAATGACATGTATTAAAAACACGTGATCACTCTTTCCCCACCCCCTCTATATTTTGTACACTATTAACAAAGGTTTCAAAGCGAAATTAACAACTGGACACGTCCAAGAAAGTACATAAGATTTAAAATCAATGCCTCATAGTTTACTGATTTAATGTGTCGTATTTAGCAAATAACATGATATAACATGATATCTCACACATCGCGAAACGGAATTGAGTAGGGGAATTTTTAATATTCAACATAACACAACCATTGATCAAATGTCAGAAGAGCAGTTCTTTCCCTTTTAAACTATGAACAAATGTTTTTTTTCTATTAATCTCCTTTTGACACAACTTTATATATGCAAATATACAACTACTGTTGAAGGGAGAACAGTTGCGCGGACTATGAATAAAATTAGAAAAAAAGTGGGCGTCCTCATTATCGTATGGAGGTTCAAGAAATCATGTTGACCCCAGATTCGCTCTTAGTAAATACCTACTTTTATTTAATGAAATTACGTAGAGTTGCCGATCGGATGTTGACCATACCTGCAATTAAAAGGAAAAAAATGTTCCTTTTGAAAGTTTATTTTGTCGCAAAATTTGCATGTCCTTAAGTGCGATCATTCTTTACTCTCAACTCTCTCTCTCTCTCTCTCTCTCTCTCTCTCTCTCTCTCTCTCTCACAGTAGAACTCATATCAGAATTAATCATAATAACAATTCAACAATAAAAAACATGGAAAAATTGCAATATATTATTTGAAGGTAACAGGGTAAAACAAGTTTTCTTCTAGACAAAATATTGACTGGACTGAACTCATATCTATTTATTTACATGTATAATACCTGATTCATTCACTCGTCAATCATATAATGTCCAGGCATGTCCTTGAAGTAACCTTAAGCTCATAATTTTTGTTGAATTCCATATATTTCGGTAAAATTATTTCTTATTTAATTAAAACACATTAGTTATGTACATTAACTGATGTATAACCTGAGTATCATTTTTTAATCTGAAGATAACAGTCTGACTGCACTCATGTAGGAAATACTCACTACTCTTTCACAATTGTATGAAAACTATTATTAATAATATCTAATAAGAGTTGAGTAAAAATATTAAATTTTGAAATGAGATTTAATATGTTTGCAGAATTTTTTATACACATGTAAACAAAGTCAAGAAGTCATCCTTGCCGAATTTGAAACGGAACAGAATTGTTTGTAAGTGTGATAGGGTGAAAATGACACGGGGGAAAATAACCCTGTATACAGTATTACTCCATAATTAGTGGAAATAGTCAATTTTGCCTGTAATTATGTTTGAATGCAAATGCCAATATTATAGAATTATTGTTTACATTTGAATCAGGTTTTAGCATACCACGAAGATTTTAGTATGGGAATTTCTTGCATATTGCAATATATCAGGATATATTGCAGATAACTCTTGTAAACATTCATAACATTGAAAAAAAAACTATTTTTACGAGAGAGAGAGAGAGAGAGAGTATTACTTATTTATTGCAGTTCATTTGCCATTAAGTTGAGTAGTTGAGTTATACAATGGTGTTGTTTGAAACAGGGTACTAATTTTCTCAAAGAGTAATTTCTTAAAAAAAGTAAAAATGCTCACCTTTGTTTTTTGAAGTATTCTGTTCTAAGTAGATTCCACTTTATATGACGTTCATAACTGGAACAAAGGACGTCTAGACTACTTTATATGACGTTTGTTTTTGAAAAAAAGGACATGTCCTTTGAAGAAGCATAAAATTATGTCAAGTGTAAGCACTTTAATTGATTCTAATTTTTTAAGTAAAGTCCTTTATAAACCATCTCCACAAACTCAATTTTCAGATAGCCAAGATGCATTTCTTCATTGTAAGTTATCCGATTCATAGATTAAACATTCACTTGGAGAGTGAAAAAAAAAAATTCTAATCATGTCATTAGATTGTCGTAGGATTTGGAGAAAGTTTAGCATGTAAACTGCTCCAAACAATGTAATATTCCAATAACATTTTTTTTTTTAATTTTTTTTTCATTTTGGCATTCTATTTAAAACCATAAATTGTTTATATTTCAGGTATTCATACTGGCGTGTATCTTATTTCTTGATGTTTCATCTAATGATAGTTCGTTCACGGAAGAAGTCGGCAAAGGATGTCCATATCGAGGTTGGTGAATTTATTTAATAAAAATTATTTATAAATTTGTCAATCAATATTAGTTAAAACTAAAATAAAATCTCAAAAAAAAAAAAAAAAAAAAAAAAAAAAAAAAAAAACAACAACATTTTATTACAGAAAAGAAATACTAGAGACCCATATTTTGAAATAAAATGGTGGAATTAAAAAAAAAAGTCAGTTTAACATTTAAATCTCTCCCGATTGAAATTATACCGATTTCGACTTCAAAATATTTAGGGTGAAAAAGTTAACAAATTTCACAAAAATTTTAAATTTCATGGTTGTTAAGTGATTTTTAAATCATAGTACATAAATTGATTTTCCTCTGGCTACTGGATCAGATAGACGGTAATTTGATTGATATTTTATTTTGCATTAATTTTTATTGGGATCGATTTAATTCTCAATATTTCATTTTTTTCTAAGAGTTTATTAAATTTTATCGATAGAATCAAAATAAATATTAATGAATATTGATTATCATATTCATATAAAATTTGTATTAAATAATTCAAAATGTCGACCTACCTCCTGTTTCCATTTATCATTAAATATTTATATAATACATTAATTAACAGAAAAAATTAAGCTCAGAAATGTCTTATTTGCAACCCAAGCAATAACAATCACTTTAAAAAAAAATCCCCCCAGCAAATAAATCATACAAAAAAATTGAAGAGCTATAATTGTCTTTAATGTCGAAACCATATGTCAAAGGAACTACATTAAACCGCCATTAAAGAAATTTTGATGTGGAAACATCCTTCATGAGCACCAGAACTTTGGCTACAGAAGAAATAAAAAAAAAAACATACAAAAATGTTGACTATATTTCTTTTACATTTGAGAGTATAAATAGAATTGATCGTTATACGTCAAAAATAGATTTCTTCTTTTTGAGCTGAACATTGATTATTTAGGCAAATTCTTCACTCAATTTAAGTACAATGTACATGTTCTCTAAAAATAGATGGCACTCATCCGTATTATTTTGGGACAACACATCTCCGTTGCATCTACCAACATAGCAAAGGTAAACGTAGGAAACGTAGTGCACCTTCCAGATGGACTTATAGCCCCACTCACCGATTCATAGAATACAGAGGATACTTTTATGATTTCCAAAGTAAGTACATTTGTACCATGTCCATTTGTTAAAAATATTTTTTTATTTACTTTATCAGGTTAACTATTGATGGCCATCCTTGAGGCTATTTGTTCGTTTCTTTATTTTTCATTTATTTCGTAAAAATAATGATTTTATAATGATACATTCCTTGAGGCTTTGTATAAATAATATCTTAATGCATATCTTTATATTTTTTAGTTAAACTAATTTGATATATTTAAAAGTAATAAATTTTTTGAGAACTCTTCAAAAACAGAAAAAGAATGCTAATTTTTTTTTTTTTTTTAGATAAAAACAGAAAGAAGACTCAAAATTTCATTGTGAAAAAAAGTGAAAATAAAAAAATCTAAATGTTGGATTTCTTTTTTAATTCAGCCAGTTCGAAAGTATCGATTGCTAAGAGTCGGTTAAGCGGAGATGTGTGTCCTGGAGCAAAGGAAAAATTCCCAGCAGGATACAGCGAACTAAGCTCCGACTGTATTGAGGGTTGTGCCAAAAATTACAGATGCACGTATGGTAATTACAGCCTCTGGTCTAATAACTGTCACATATTTGCTAACCGGCTCTCCGAGGTTCTGTGTAGGAGAGGCACAAGGTGTCCTGATTGGTGTAAAGGAAGCTGTGATGATGTGGAATATAATTAACTTTGAAAAAAATGAAGATGTGTATAATTCAAAACATCAACAATACCGAAATTTCATCAAGTTGAATCATAGTTTATTTGTGAATTGCACACATTTTATGCACATTTATTTTGGTAAAAACTGTAAAAAAAAAAAAGTAGTGTTCGATACACCAAGTATCAAATAAAAATATGAAAAAAATTCTTCAAAACGTTATGTCTTCTTTGTCTTAAAAATATGAATTATGAAGTTATGTCTTAGTTGATGCATTCATACACAATAGAAGGATGACTTGATACATGTACGTATTTTCTTCTGGTTTAGGAATTGGCGATTGACAAAGCGCGAGAATTATTCATTGATTCCATTACAGGATAGTGAATTCAATATTTACCTTACTCTATTTTAAGATAATTTGGCTCTATCGGAGAGGTAAATTTCCTTGCTTAAGATTAAAATATGATATATAAAAACTGCTCAAACGAATTCTGGTATAATTTATGGTTAAAAACAGAGGTACACATATAATGAAAGAATATCTCCATGTAACCACAAACAAGTCTTGTGAGATTTGACAGCCTCTAAAAATGCTTATGAATTTTACTTTTCCTCCTATGCACTTCATCTAACAGTTTATATTATTTTTTTCTTACCAAAAATATGAAATAAATACATGGTCTTCAACGTCATGGGGATGTTACTTGTTGATCTAGTTTGCATCATTGGGAAATATATTTGGATAATTTGTGAAGTTTTCAACACACAGATAGATCTCTCTCTCTCTCTCATATCTTTGATGAAAACAGTAAAATATCATTGTAGAAAAACACTTTTTCTCCATAAATGAAGCAACTTTTATAGTAGCTTTTGCCTAATCAATCTGTTACATAAACGCACATGTAACATGACTACCCAATATATATAATATACAATATGTGTATATAAGAACAAGAATATATTTTTTTATTGCAAATTCGGAACAAGATAACCTTAAGCTGTTTTAAGCGAGAAATAAAATTTCAGTGCTAATAACTTGTGTAAATAGTACATGTCCATGATTGAATCCGCCAAGGACTAAAGCAACGAAAGGTGAAAAAGGTGTCTTTCAGTCAAGCGTTATATTACAAACTTGGAACAATACCTTATTAAATTTGTCAAGATACCAACAATTGAAAAAGAAGAGAAATAAACGAATAAAAAAAGAATGATCAAAAATATTATTCTGTTGTTGTTGATGTGGGGCATTAAATTATTTAAAAAGCACAGTTTTGCTGCAGAAAAGTTCCGCTCACTGCGTGTTTAACTCCATTATTGTACACTAAATATATATATATAAAAATCCAACGCAAACATGATACGACATTGATACAAGAATTTTTATTTCATAAAAGAAAGATGGTGCATTTAATTGGCATTCAGCAGGAATCTTGGTACACTTGAAAATTTCATTGTTTTATCACATGAAATTGTAGCATTTTCTTGATGTATCGGGTTCCTGTGAAATAATAAAGGAAAATACTTTCCCGATATTATGAATTGATTTGATAAAAATAAAATGAAAATTGGCTAGATGAGCAATTTGGTCAATAGTGCTGGTTAAAGCTGGTTGTGAAATGTGTTTGAGTTGCCTAACACGCCCACCCTCTTGAGTTTTCCCATTACCGTAATGTTAATACGGACTGATAGTACATTACTTTGAGAACCTATATCATAAAAATACTACTTCATTTTATTAACCAATCGACATTTAACATGAAACTGGATCATTAGCCTACTTCATTCATTTCTTAAGGGAAAAAGTATTACTTGAACATTTGAAGTCATTGTAGGCCGCAAAACGGCCTTATAGAGAATGATCCTTTGTTTTCTGCAAACAATGAATTCGTTCCTCAGTTAAATTTTACATGTATATACACGTACTGATTAATTCAAATTTTGAAATTAATGAATTTTGGTTAAGTTGCAACTCGAGCGAAACCACGTCTTCCAACTTATGTTGAAACTTCAATATTCATGTAATTGCATTTAACTATACACGATTATGTTATTGGTGTTAATTTTTTTGTGAAATGTTACAATGTTATCGTTACAATAAAGATAAGCGGATTTAAATATTACAATTTGACAATGTATTTGAAAGAAAACACCAACAATGATTTGTGTCAAAGTTTGTCACGGCATGCAAAATTTATCGAAATTTCATTTTCTCTCCATTTTCTGACAAAGAAATTGTCATACCTATAATTATTGAAAATCAAGCTTTTAAGGACTTACGGTCTTTTTTCTGAAATAAAATAGTTCATTATGAAATCTTGCTCTGTAGTGCATTACCTATTTTAAATGTGAGTCTCCTATAAAAAATAGTCATTTTATTTTTTCCCGAATTAACGTTATTTTTTATTAGGGAAATATATTAACCTATCATTTTTTAGTAATGACTAAGAAAAAAATATGTACATAATATTTAGGCGTTTTTCTTAAATAGTAAACTGGCGCAACTCCATGAAGAACAAATCCAGACTGTTAACCTATAACAAAACTTTTGCAATAACCTCTACTTTTTAAAAGGAATTCCCAACATTACAAGAATTGAAAGAAATAATATTTTAGTCTCCATTTTAAATTATAAACATATTGCATTATTTAAGAAAACTGTAAACACTAAAAAATTTTGGGAATTTAAGAAAATGATATAAATGTTTGCTCATTTTTTTCATCTCGTTCTTTCTCAATATAGGGTACTGGTACCAGATGCAAAACTTCTCCAGAAAAAAAGTTCAAAGACAATGGAGAATTAGTTAACAATAATTACTGTTGTTTATATTACTTACACTTGGAAAATGATTGGAAATAATTCTTCCTGTTATCTCATCTAGATATGATAAGATGATAAGAATATTTAATTCTACTTCAATTTGTGAAATTTTCTATAGATTCAAATGCCGCGTTTTTAAATAGCATCAATTTTTAAAATACTAGGACACACAATCCAGAACCCAAGCTTTGATAGATCTTTTGTACCTGAACGAGGAGGATTAGGAACCAACAAAAGAAAAGTATTACAAAGACCAAATTTAAGCACATATCAAATTAAAGTCTTTTTGTTTATGACTTCCGTAGAAAGTTTCTCATGTCATCATTAGCGTCAATAATTATGATTTTTTTACTCAAATGAATCATATACCCTTAAAAAAATTGTATGACAAAAAATAATTTATATTATTTAGCGTATTATTCCCATTATGCGTTTCTTTTCTTTCTTTCTTTTTTTTTTGAACAGTATGTATCCAAAATTTAAAAATATTTTCCATTCTTGTAATTTCCAACTAGATTGGGTCTCGTTAAATGTAGAAGGAATCTTAGTAATATGGAACTGAAATTCAAAGTCCCAGTGACTTCCTTATAAATGAGTTTTACTGTATTCGGAAACACTTTTGAAGGGGATGCCTCACTTTGAAAGGAGGGAAAAACTGGTTAAATAGTGAGATTTCCCCTGGGTCTAAAGATTTGCCTTTAGATTCGAAAATCTGATGATTTTTGCATTTAGTTTTTAACGCAACATATAAGGCATTCATATTTAACCTTTACTTTTTTTCCGAAAACTTTTGTTCACAAAATCATTTTATGATATTAAACTACACATGACATAGGGAGGAAATTACATGTAGCTCATATGGAAATTTAATCCATAATTAGTGGAAATAGCTGATTTTGCCAATATTATCGTGGCTGATTGAATGCAATAGTATGGAATTATTGTTTACATTTAATTCAAGTTTTTGCATACCAAGGAGACTTTAGTATATGAATTTCTTGAATATAGCAATATATTTTAATACGTTGCATATGAAACAAGAGAGAGAGAGAGAGAGAGAGAGAGAGAGAGAGAGAGAGGGGAGGGTTGTGATATATTTTTCAGTTCATTTACCATGTTGCTGGGTTTTACAAAGGTGCTGCTTGAAATTGGGTATTAATTTTGTGAAAGAGTTATGTGTTGTTTAAAAGCAATTGATTTTTCAATAAAGAAAGATGAAGTTCATTGATAATTATAAAACAGTTTTGCTGCATTCCTGACTGCAGTAAAATTTAAAATTAAAACAATAGAGCTCAAAAATTAATATAAAGTGTTGGCAACATCAAGTTGTAACGAAATTGTACAATATTTATATAGGTTTTAAGAGAGAATGTCACGAATCATCAAGCTTCAGATGGAAACTTAAAATTTTAACCCCCTTTTTTCTTTTATTGGTTGTAAAAAGTGTTCATAGTACACAACTTTTACATATATGAAAATGATGTTTGACCAACAAAACTATTATTTTTTTCCCTTATTATGTGTTGCCATGGAAACCATCATAAGTTAAGAAAAATAGCTTCAATTTTAACTTTTTTAAAAGGATATTTTTACAAAAAGAATACAAATATCACCTACAACAGACTTTATGCTAATTATTAAAGATGTATAGTATACAAAAAAGTTTAAAAGCAAATCTAAATACATTGGTATCCGTTGCCATGGCAACACAAATATTGTACAGTTTTACAGTTTGAAAAATTGAAAATTACCTCTCAAGTTTAAACTTATATATATAAAATCTACAACAAGCTGAGCATTAAAATGAATTTGATTCTTACACAATACAGGTTGATCTTCAAGAATGGCTTATAAAATTGAGAAGCATTTTTATTGTTTTAGTGGAAAAAACGGTTAAATTTTGTGCCTTTCCTCTTAAAATATGTTAAAAATACACAGCAAATTTTAAGGAAAACTTTCAATTTCTTCCAAATTGATAATTGTTTATGTATATTTGCTATTATACTCTTGCATTATCAATAAATATAGTGATATTAGGAGATTAAAACCCTGTAATGTGCCCATAGCAACCAAATTTACTGCATAGCAACCTAGGCATTTTCAAGAAATCGTGTCAAAAAATAAAGGAGAACATGCATTTAAATATAGAATTAGATAAACAAGCTTTATTTAACTTAAGAATAATAAAACATACTTAAATTTCAGCATCAATCATATTCTATGCATAGCAACCAAATGATGTCCAC